TGTTTGGGTGTTTGGGACTGAAGCATCCAAACAGCTCCATCATAAGCAAACACCCACTTACACTGTTGGGCTAAGGAGGATCTGCAAACTTTGTTAATTCTGATCCTGTGGCTTGGCACTATTGGCATTATGTATGAGCAAATATGACATAAGAAGAATAGAGGTGCAGAGGTATATTTTTATATACTCCCATACTTACTTTACACACTACACATAAGTCTTGGGGACTGCTTAACACAGATATGTTCTAGCATGCAGTTGCTAAAAATGTATCATCCCACCAGCTTTCAGAGACACTTCCTACACCTTTCAACAACACCGTTTAAGTGGGATAGAACATCTTTAGCAAGAAAAGTAATGGGCAGAAATCCACCACAGAACAGTGAGTAAACCAATTGTCAGGCCACTCCCTCAGGGGAGTGGAGGAGGAGACCCTCTCTCACACAGGAGACCCAAATGCAATTTCTTGCTGTGACTCAGTCAGAGAAGTACTCTGAAGCCCTTTCTCGTGTTCCATGCAGAGTGCCCTCATGGTTCCACTCCCAGCAAGGAGGCTGGAGTCATCACCATCTCCTCTTCTGTGACTTTGAGAAGGGCAGCTGTCTCCCCAATCGATCTAATCTAGACCTCCAAGAACTTCTGAAATGCTGAAATGGACTGTCTTGACATTTCCAGAAAATGGTGTATGCGCAAAAACCAACTTGCTGAATTTGGACTGAACTCACAAGTAGTTTTGGCTGTCTTGGAACATTTCACCCTGTAAATGATTCACTGAGAAAGATACACAAGTCTAGCTAGGACCCAGACCCATTCATGACTGCTGCTGCCCTCTCTGCTGTATGTGAACTGCTATACACTCTCCAGGCTATTTGTGCAATCTAACCAGCCAGATCTTTGATGTTTCTCTCCCTGCTGCTCCTAGAATCCTTCTTTAGTTGGCAGAATTCAAAAAAGGCTCAAATCTAAGCTTAAGTGGTTTGCTGAATTATCGTCTTAAGCATACTAGCTGGTGTGGCTTTTCCTTCTCCACTTCTGCTTTCCACATATAAGTGCACAGTAATTCCACCAGCCTTTCAGGTTATGCACATGCAGCACTCACCTATTAGCATTGCCACTTGAACATCGGAATACCAACAGTAGCCTTTATCAGGTTACTCATTGGCAACTTTTTCTTGCAGAACTGTTTGGTTTTTAAAAATAATATATTCCCTATATTGGGGATACCGTATAGAGCAAAGACTTTCATTAAGAAAGCTGTTTCAAAAAGATGGCGGCAGGAAGAAAGTGTCACCTGTACAACCACAGTAGTGCTGAAATGCCAATAAAAAAAAACAAATACAGTCCTCTCCTAAAGCTAACTTCAAGAATTTGGCACTACAAGTATCGTGTATGAGCAGACACAACATCAGAAAAAGAGAAGGTTAGATCGGTTTTGGATCGCAATTCACATATAAAGATGAACTCTAATGAGCAGAGATGTCTTGTCAACAAACCTGTGTGTCGTCTTTGGTGCCGTTTGAGTTGGTCTGAACGAGAAAATCTCCGTTCACAGTCCTTAAAATCACACTGATAAGGTTTTTCACCTGTAAAGGACAAACGGTTTATCAGAAAATGTGGCTAAATGAGGGAACACGTCAACCAGAATCAGAAGATGAAACGTGTTACACGAAAAGGCCTCTCTCCTGTCTAAAGTAGTCTAGTGGTACACCAGGACTCATTTGCTATAAAACCATACAACTGTGTTGGAATCAGTGGGGAAAGACTGGCATAATTCTACTGCATTGACACTGATATTAAATCTGCTTATTCTAAAAAACAGCCCATTAGGTTAAAGCTACAAAAAAATTCAGGTTGCATGAAATTTTTTTTATTGCTTTCTGCTGGAAAAGAGCAGAAATCTCTTGTTTTATATTTCTCAGACCCCCCCCCCCCCCATATTAAGCTCTTTCCACCTGTTTCAGTAATATATAATTTGTACAAGGGAACAACTTGCAGTTTGCTTTAAATTGGATTTGAAGCAAAAATGAAATCAGTGACATCCATGTAGGTGGTAATTTTAACAATGCTAAATGGATTAAAAGGAAATGAAGAGCAAAATTCAACCACAGAAAAAAACATTCTTCCCCAAAACACAAATTATGTTTCTGCATAAAGCACCATTAAATAGAATTTCTCATTTAGCTGCACACCTCTCGCAGGCAAGCCTATGAATTCTTGCAAAGCCTCATGTAAACATAAACTCTTCCTCCACCTCCCATACAGTTCAGCAGAGGTCTTCAGGATGGGTTTTCTCTGGGACGAAAAGTGAGATTCTGACTTCTTTAAAAAATGAAATCCCTACAAGCTAGCTTCTCAAATGAACATGATTTTCAATGCAAAGGGCTTTGCCAACCACATAAACATGCAAAAATGCAGCGATCGAGGAGCTTGAGGAAAGAGGGAAACACTGCTGGCAGGCAGCATACCGCAGAGTTGGGGAAATCTGGCCAGCACAAAAAAACCTAATCCTTATGCTGTTACAAGAGGAGCTGTATGATCTTTCAGATCTAGTCTAAGGTCCCTTTGCACAACGCTGGAATCCTGCAAGAGCCTCAGATGTAATTACATTTATACCTACATAAAGCCTGTTTACAGTGCCACAGCCCTGCGCAGAGGCCTCAGCACCAGAAGTAATGAAACATCTTTCACTGCAAAGCCGGGAGAATCCTGGGTTTTATCTGGAAGGTACACACGAGACCAGCTGGGACCTGCTTTGTCTACGGTGGAAAGCTGAGATGTAAAACAAAGGTCCAGTAGGAAGGACCTAAAGAAAAACATCAGCTGAAGTGGGCAGCGGGTTCAATTTCTCTGGGTATATTTTTAAACACATATCACTTTCATAAATCTTCATTGCAAGTGTCTGCATTTCTGATTTTATTATGATGAGGAAATGTATTCTGGTTGCACTGGTATCTCAGAACAAGATAATAATAAAAGAAAGTCTTTTAGCTTAAAGCAGAAGCATTCTGATCATATATCTACGGTATAAGTAGCATATTAAGAAGAGCATTCCAAATTCATACTGGTGTGTCTAAGATCAAAATTTCACAAAAGCAACTAAATCTGCAAGAACAAGCTAACTTCCTGTGACAGTCACCCAAAGGAGTTTACTGATTCTCAAACCTAGGTGTGGACAATTTCCATGTCTGCTGTGCTTAATTTATTAGCATAAGGGATTAAAGTTGCCACAGGTGTTTGAAATAGTTCCGTACACTTTGACCGCAAGGACTCCCTGGGGAGTGCCTGCTTTTCAGAAACCACTTACTTCCAAGGAATTCAGCCCTTTGGCAGATTTAAGAGGGGGAATGTCAGCAGAGCAGAATGCAGCGACAGGATGATTGTCTGCTAATTGCAATATAAACGCAGAAGATGGTTAAGGAGGTATTTGAATAAAACGGTATAGCGGGTCTGATGGCATGCACATGAAAGTATTTCTTTAAATACTTCAAAATATAATCTTGATTAAATTAAGGACAAATTTAACCAATGCATATATTAAAGGAATCAATCCAAGATGCTTACACAGAGATATGATGACACTGTGTAGAAAACAAAAAGCAAACAAACAAAAAGAGGCACAGTATTTGGACAGAAATCCTAATTTCCCTTTCCTTCTACATCTTCCACGTCAGCTAGTGCCAAGAAAAATGCCTGCCAAAGCCAACTGTCACATACCTGTTAACTCCCATAAGTTTCATCAGAACAGGATGACAGAAATGTCCCAGATTAGAAAAAGTCTGTTAGTACCTCATTAAATCACTATACCGAGAGGGGTTAGAGCAGTGTCTAGTTTCCCCAGGCCTATTAAAGCCTCTGCAGTAAAAGGCTAAAGTCTCTTAATGTACAAAAAATATCCCATAATGCTGTCACCTTCCTATGTGACCACATACAATTTCAAAACAAAACAGGAGATGAAGATGAGCTTCACCAGTCCTTCCACCTGCGTCTTGGAGGCTTCCATGATTATTTTTACATTTCATTACTGAAAGAGGGCACAAAAAAGAAAGGCTAAACTTAGTGCATAATGAAATAGTCAAGATCAGAGAGGATAGGGGGAACAGCAGTTCTTTAATATTTAGGAAAATATTTAGAAAAAATAAAGCTCAACAATCACAGAACAAGTACGAATGAGCCTTTGCACATATCACAATAAATGCTTCTAATAAAATAAACCTATTTGCTCAAAAATAGTTAACTTAAACTAGAAGGAGCATGCACATTTTCTCTGGAGCGAATTCATTTGCCCAGACGCATGGGAAAACAGAAAATCCTACTGCTGTAGCAGTTGCACAAAATATTAATAATCATTGCATTTAATTAAGGTGTGCTGCAAGAGCAAAAGCCCGCCGCTAACAAGAAAACATGAGGAGTGGAGGCTGATTTTGAAACCAGAGACTGCAAGTCTGAATAGGAATTTGAAGGCTTGTCTATACTCCACCAATTTAAACCCCTTTTCTTGTATACCCACTTAATCAAACGAGCACAAGCTCATAATCACAACTTTACCTCACTAATATAACATTTTTCTATTCAGTATCATTTGCTTTAGCAAACTTAGATAAAACATGTTTCTTTATTAAGTAAGGAGCCTTTATAGGTAATGTTTTCTGTCATCCTCACACTGTAGTTCAGGTGCAAGAGGTCATTACTTTTTGAAAGTAATCTTGTATTTTAAATACATAAGTATTCTTATTTTATGCCATAGAAATGAAAGCCTAAAAGCAGTCCCTGCTGGGTGAGGCCAAAGGTCCATCCTGCCCAGCAGTCTCTCACCATGGCTCACCGAAGATGCCTGCAGGAGAGCAGAAGACAGCAAGAATGCAGCAGTACTTTCCCTGGACACTCCTAGTATCCAGCAGTTCATGAGTTAACAACTTTCTAAGCCAAAGGTGCTTTCTATTTAACACTCGTTAATGGAGTTTCTTTCCATTAATTTGTCCAGTTGTTTCTTGAACCCACATAAGCTTTCAGCTTCCACAGTATTCTGCAGAATGGTATTCCACAGCTTAAGTATGAAGGTCAGTATTTCAAAGCAACATTAATGAAAGAGTGCTATCCTAGAAGTTACCACACCAGACTGTTAAGAGGAGAGCCTGTGCGGTTCCCAGCTCAGGCACAATTACACCCATTTATCAACTTATCACCTCTGAATATAGCGGACATAGCTCTGTCTTTCAAAGGTGTTGTAATGATGACTGTAAAGCATTTAGCAGCACGGTGGCATACGCCACAGTAAAAGGATATTTGCTTTTGTAAAAGAAAAGAAATCATTGTCAGACAATTAGCATAAAAATCACTATTAGACTTCATTACTTACATCCCCCACAGCCTCAGAAATTCACCACCGAGACCTGAGTCCCCTACCACATAAAGGACAACCTTCCCAATTTACAGATTCTCATACTTCATTGTAGAAAATCGTACCTGCAGTTGAGCATATTTAGGCTGAAGAATATCCCTGGCAAACAGGCAGAGGAAATTTCCTCTGCAAAGATGTTCAGCTTTCTGTTAGGATAAATCCAGTTTTTCCAATGGGTGGCACTGAACCCAAAGGGTCTCTGGCAAGAATGCTGATGTTTCCACCATAAATGAAATTTATGGAGGTCTAGACATCAATTTGTTTCTGCAAAGAAGTCTCTGAAGTCTGCCACAGAATGACAACTCACATTATTTGCTGTACTGTTGAAAAGTTATATGTATTTTTGCATTTCCTTTCAGAGGCCTATCTACTGCAGCAAAATACACCAAGATAAGAAAAAAGCTTTTTTGGCTGTACATGTTTCAATAAAGGCGTTGTTAACAATGGATAAGCAGTCTTGGAGGGTACAAAATGTCAACATATTTTCAACTAAGGCTCTGTTGAAACATTGGTAAAAACTGATTACAGAATCCAGCTTGGTGTTTCAGGGCCCTGCTTGATTTTGCAATTCTGCAACCGTTGAAGAATGGAAGATCTGATGAGCCAGTCCTCTGTAAGTATCTATTATAGAAAGAAAAAAGATAATCAAGAGCCGACATTATTCTGCAAAGATACTCTCTGCTGGTTTAATATTAGATATATGTAACAGCTTGTTTTCAAATCATGTGTTCATAATTTTTAAAAAATTACCTACCACTACATGAAGAAAGGTGGAAGAGCTTCAAACCCCTGAGTGAATCCAGAACCACCCTACAGGAGGACTAGTAAAATTTTTTGTTGGCTGTAGAGAGGTATACCAAACACAACCAAATCATCCTCCACTTGAGCTGACATCGGACAGCTCTCCTGACTTTAGGCTGGCTCATCAGGATTCCTCCCCATCAAAACATCGAAGCAAAAGAAGAAGAGACATATCCCTCTGTTTAGTAAGATATTAGGTGTTAACGTTTGCCAACTACTTTCTGTCTAATATGCTAATTCCACCAAGCCCAATTTCTGTACCTAATAAAGAACTCTAGAATGGGGGTTTGGAGTTCATTGGGTTATAAACAGAAAGATGATCAGAGAGTCTAAGAGACAGACACATAATTATCAACATAAACCAACAGCCTCACTCGAGTCATACTGGCCCCTTAAGATATCCGCTAACATATAAAAACAAGCAGGTAGAGAAAAGAAAGAAGGTGCAGAGAAGTGTGAACTGTAGCTACCATAACTGTTATCAACAAGACACACACATTCTTCATAGTGATGATTGATCTGCCCTTGGAGAAAACTGGTTTCCAAATTTTGCTTTTGACAATCAGCTTTTCCACACATAGGAGACACAAATCAGGGTTAGATAGACAAAGACATGAAGTTACAAAGGAGACTGGAAATGGCTTTGCATCACAACAGTCGGTTCAACTGCCCAGGACTCCTGAAGAGCACGGGACTGAAAAAGACCATTACGGCCACTAAGGTCAGACTCTCCGCCATGCCAAGCAGCCAAGAAAATATGTTAACTCAAGTGTTCGTAGACCATCCACTCCAGATGCTCCCATATAATATAGCTCACCAAGCACTCTCAAAAACTAGGACTAACAGACAGGAGACAAGAAATGAAGGGCATCATATTCTAAGTCTCTACAGCAGCTGGGAATTTGGTAAGTAGAATTTCCAGACAATAATCATAGGAAATGGCTAGTACCCATACACCCGGCTGAGGACAAAAACCCACCAGCCTGATAAAGGGGAGCACTCCCTTCTGATCCTAAAGCTGAATGCATCAACCAGGCAAGTTACCCAAGCAATTCTCATACCAGCAGTGCACTGTCCCTTGCTTCCTCTCTTCAGCCGCAACCAGCCCTGAAAGCTTACATGGTCTTATCAACGGCAACATTTGTATCACCAAATACAAGCTTTGGGAATCAAGCTGGCCTCTTACGGAAAACAACTTGCAAAGATTTGAGAAATAAGTTTTGTTGTCAACATATCAAAATATAGTGGCAGAAAATCTGGGCCCACCTGTACAGAAGAGGTGTTTGGGGGGGAAAAAACATTTTTTTTCTTCTACCCTGTTCCACTATCAGGTAAACCAGAGGAGAAGGAAGGGGCATGTATGACCTCAAAGACAATGGGAGAAGTCTCTCTAGGGATGCTAGAGAGCCATAGTCCTATCCTCTATGTCTTCTGGGGCTTTTGTGGCTCTACATGCCTAGATTGTATGTGGTATAATGCTGGAAATCTTCCCCAGTTAAGGAGAAAAAAAAGATGTAAGCTGAAGTCCTTGTGATGCATCCAGAAATAATACTGCGAAAGCCAAGCAACTAAATGGAATAAAATACAGGACCAGAACAAACAAATTATGACTGTTGAAATACAGTGTAAATCAATTTAGGAATGAAAGAAATAGTGATTATGAGAAAAATTCAGAACTGTTTAGGCATACTCAAGAAAAACACCCCAGTTAATGGACCCCGAAAGATCTCCAAATTTTCTTCTGTTTCCAATTTATTTACAGAAAATAAAATAGCATTTCTGTAGGCTTTCAGCTCTAAAGATTAAATTCCAGTTACAATCTAAATTATCTTGAATGTGTAATCTGAGCAACACTGAAGATGTCTATCTGAATTATTTTGTGACTTGCCCATTCAGAAATTAAAAATCCTTTGTAATGTTCATTTCTTACTGTTTTTACACAATTAACTAACGTGACCACATGGTCTCCAAAAGGAAAAGTTTGCAACTATTTTTTATTAAATGTTAGACAATCTCCTAAGTCACAACAATATGGACTGCCTTCCTGTTGTCTGTTTCATCGCTTTGACTTTCCATCATACTAATGGTTAACTGAGCATCCATATTTACAGATTTTATCCACAAATTTCTAGATTAGCACAGAAAGAACTGTCTAAATAAAAATATGATAGGCCATCAAAAATAATACAGAGCATATCTAAAGCTATATCATAATTATACATCTCCAACAGTATAGATCTCCCAATAGGGGAAATAATTCTATTTACCCTTCAGCAAGGTGCAGCAGGACATTTGATTTCCACATTTTGAGATGTAACTTATATTGCCTGAACTCAGAGAGAATCCAGACCGTAGCCTACAAGTGACTGGCTTCAGGCTCAATTCTTCATGGAAAGATCTCATAGCAAGGAAGCTCATTTGCCAATCCCTGCCTCCACCCCCACCCAGAAAAGGAGGACAAGAGGATGCTAAATGTCTAGGTTCCTCTTGCAGAGGAAACTTCTTAATAGTTAACAACAGTTAAGATTTGCAACAAGCTTTGATGCTCCTAAACGGGAAGGGGGAGGGGAAAAAAAAAAGAAGATTCACAGCCTTGAACGATGCCCTATAACAGTAAGAGAGGGAGGGAGGTGATCTACTTGCTGTCAGCACTGCTCTGTGTTTTTCTTCACTGGATTCAGAGAGTCTTCTGCATCCGAAAGAGGGATTGCCCAGATGACAGAGCATGTACATACCTCATCTGACAGATTCTCACTGCCCCTGACCTGGCAGATCATTTCTTGCACCTTATGCTATTTTAAAATCACCCTACCCACTTTGCTGTTCAGTGCTGTAACATGATTTATACCAATCCATGCTGACACTTACCAGTGTGCTTTCTGCTGTGCATCTGTAAATGGGACAACTTAAAGTATCGCTTGTTACAGCCAGGGTACGCACACATGAAGGGACGTTTTTCATTTGTCTCGCTTGCTGATCGGACAATAGTTGGAGCTACTCCTGGCACCCGTCGGACATCCTACAATGACAGAGACTTGCTAATGCAACGTGTATGTTCTCAAGCTTTTACTTAATATATTCAAAGACAAACAATCAGAGGCACTTCTCTGGGACAAAGAGATACTTAAATATATTATATTGCAAACAGGCCATTTTATTTTATTTTACATTAATGAAGTACACCCTTAGTGTACTTCATTACACTGGTGTACAAAGGTGTACAAAGAACACCTTAATCTGTTCTTTGCAAAGTATTAAAATTATTTGAAGGTGAAATACAGTGAACTCTACTTATTAAATTCTCTCGCCAATATTTATATGCAGGATTAAATGGGCCACATTGTGACCTCATGTATAATCACACAATCCTGGAAGAACACTCGTTGGCATATGAAATAGTTTTAGGCTTATACCAGTGTAAGAGATAAGAGCACGAGCCATAGTAGCCTTCTCCTCTTTATTTTAAATACTCACATGAAGTTAAAGGACAGGGAAATTAATGTATTGGGTTAATACAAATTGGTAAAAAGCAAAACAAGAATGACTGTATAGTTGGAGCTGGTGAATAGTTCAGCCTTAATGCATTTTGGCCACTTTCACAATGTTCCATCAAAGATGATCTTCACCTTGTGGATAATTAACTTTCTTAAACAATGTCAACTGCTTACTTTTATTCACTCAACGAAAGCTGGCTCACGAGCCTATTTCTGAGAGCTTGCCACTGAATAATGACTTATTAAACTATAGAAAAAAGGAAAAGGAGAAAAGATGCTACCTAAAACCATTGAGGTATGTTGACAACACAGAGCAACACAGAAGAGACAAATATTATGTAACAACTTTGCCATCAGTTTTACGGAGGTATATCTTTTACAGTGGTATTTATTGATTGTTTTGGAAAAGGGAGGAAATTAACTCCCATGAATGGTAAGTTCCTTCCGAAAATTCACTAATTACTTAGTCATTAGAAAACAATCACTTATTATATTTTGTTTTAAGGAAATATGTTTGAATTAGTAAAGTTTCAGAAATCCGTAAAAGCAAAATGTCATCTAACTCTTTCTTATATACAGTTATCAGACGTAGTCCACTGTAACCACAGAAGCTTCACACGGCCAAAGTGACTGGAGCTAGAAGTTGGAAACTGGATCATATATTTTGGACCATCCTGAGAAGCTGGTAAGGAATATTGTCTCGCAGATATATTTCAGAGGAAGAAATAAATGATTTTGAATGATTGTGTTAGAAAGAAATCTTATATTATACTTCAATGGCTTCAGTGAAGTCAGGACACAGGTAAAGCATTTCTTGACAACACAGGGAAACCGCAAATCAAGGATGGATTTATAAATACCAGTGAAGTAGTAAATGAATATTATAAACAGGCAGCAGTTTTACTTCCCTATGAAGAACGCCCTACTATACTCACTTGTATGCCTCTAAAAACTCCATGGGTGTGTATTCTGTATTGGGCCCCACAGCTGTATAACATGGGAGCACTGTGGTTCTCATTTTCATATCCTGCTGTATGGCTGTAAATAAAGAGGGGAATAATGGAGAAATGAAATATTTTTCAGTACTCAGCTCCATGTGAGAGGTTTCATTTCTTAAGTCGGTGATAACATACGCAGAGTTCGCTTTTATAGCCAGGATATCCAAGTTCAAATGAAATTCACCAAAGGAAGCCTGCTCTGCCTTCGTATTGATCTGCTCCCACTGACACAATGCATTGATTCCATACATACATCTATTAGTATCCATTAAGACAGTCCAGAAAAAAAAAAATTGCCATGATCTGAACTCTGATGTATTTCCACAAAGACTTTAGGTAAGAGGAAAAAATCCACAAAGCAGCATAACTGTCATGTGCACATGTACACATTATTTATCAGTTAAATGTGGGGCTTGCTATTGCTAATATCTTTTGGAATGAGCAAAATGCCTCAAGTTTCACATTAAGTGCAGTGGATTTTTGTCAGCACCTCATGACTCAGATATTACCAGATACTACCAAGAAAGTGATGACATTTATAAGAATAGCAGTCATGTACTCATAAACAGAGATTACAAATCAGTGTCCAAACTATTTATCCCACATATCAGCTTGCAGGATGCGCTACAAATTAACCCTTTATAAAAATAAAATTAAAATACAAAACCAGCCTATCCCTACTAGGTATAAACTTTCAGAATTCCTCATGCAGCATCATCACAATAATTTTAAAAATTTGTAACCTTTGTTGTGTTTTGGGGGTGTCACCACCATATGTTTATCTGATTATATTCTTCAAAATCCTGTGTTCTCCTGTCCAGAACGTTAGGAACATTGCTGTGTTTCTTGTCGCAACCTTCTTACATTATGCAAATAAATTTTAGTTTTTATTTTTAAATGAGTATGTTACATTAGCGTGTACACTGCCACATGTATTAATATACATTGGCAACAGTAAGTGTTCATGTTTTACACTGCACTAGAAATTAGAAAACACAGAACAAAGCCCAAGGGCGCAGAGCTAGGGACAAAGATGGATTCATAGGATGTTATCCCACTCTTTGCCAAATGCTTGCAATAGCAATTTGAAGGGGTCCCTGAGGCCCAGACTCTCATTTCACTGGTCCTTCCTTTCTCTTCACTCAAAGTTCACGTGCAGAGTAGAATTACAAGGAAGTTTTAAACCTCTTAAGTGATTTGCAGAACAGCCAGTGGAACTGGAATGCGGGAGATGTCTAAATGGTTTGTGAACCTCACTAAACAGGAGGGGAACAGTATTTGTGAACAGCTCTTACTGCAGAGTGTGGGTCGCATTCCTCATTAGTCGTCCCCATAGAGGCTTGCAGACTGCCACCTGGCAGACGTGTTCCTTCAGATCAAGTCCTTCGCTGCCTAAAATACTCATTTCAAATCCTGGCTCCACCTGGCTATTCAAATCAAAGGCTACACCTTTTAGGAAGGTATGCTCTGTTTATTTTAAAGTGGCAAACAGGTGACCATAATGAAATAAGTTCTAGGGTGGTGGCAAGAAAGTATCTCTGATCTGTAGTATTATCTGTAATAATAGAGAAAGGAAGATACCATTATCTGATTTAAATGGATTAAACTCTTCTCTAGATATGTACTATGCCCAACTAAATAGGGTCTCCTTTCTGCTCAGGGCCCGGGTGTGGCCTTTTGTTCCCTAATACAAGTAACATGACCATTTGCTCAATTCAGGTTCCCCACCAGCATCGAATGTTCCTCTCTATTGAAAGGCAGCAAGTCCACAGATAGTAAAAAAAAAAAAGGTTGAAAAGCACCCAACCCACGGTGATACCCATGTTAATCACAAATTAAACAGTGCATTTTAAAACAGAAATTAAATGAGAACTACCATTTATAAGGAGGAAGTTCTGCAGTAGAAGCTACTCCTGATCTGTAACGTAGCAGTAAATCAAGGGTAAATATGAACTTCAGCATTAGTCACCCTGAGTAACCATGTAACCTCTCATTCACGCCTGTGCTAGCAACCTTACACATTACAATAAACAAGAGACACACAGTTAGATAAGAAGAATTCCCAGGACAGAAACTTTAGAAGGAGGAACAGGAATACGCAGTAAAAGCTTACACCATAAAACACAACCTAACTTTCCCTCCAAATTCACATGGTTTTCATCTTTCAGTGATAACCATTTTTGTAAAGACCAGTCAGTTCTGAAATAATTCCTCCCAGGAATAAGAAGCAGGACAAAGACCCTGTCTGTGCCCTAAGGAATGGCTCTATGAATGGGAGGTATCCTCCAAATGATCTCCATCTCAATTCTTATCGCACAGTTGGGAAGCCTTCCTCAACATTCAGCCTTTTTCATATTTCCTCCCATTATTTCTAGTTACACTTCACTAAAACTGTACATACAACTACAAAGCCTTGAAGATTAAAACCTGTTTTCTGAGCCTCTTGACCCATAATAGACTAAGTAATGAATAGCCATCTACTTAACCAGCTCCCTAGGAGAGACGCTTTAATAATCAGGAACCCTAGTTCCCATTTTACATTGGGCACATTTCCATCAAGGTTGGCTGGTACTCCACGTGGTCATGTGGATGATGACAGCAAAATGGATCACGTGAGATTTCTTGGTTAAAATACTATTTATTCACTATGAAGCACTATGGAATAATCTGACTTTCAGGGAGATAGAAGTTAACAGGTGAATGTTCTTTCCAGTCAGTGGAGAAACTGGAACACTGAAGGAGGAGTTTTCACTAACGGTCCCTACACCACTGCTCTCTTGAACTTCAGCCTTCACCCTGCATCGACAGTAACCTCATTGTGAGATACAATTTTTTTTCTTCCAGCCCCTTTACTCAATGCATCCATGATGCATGCCACAAAATGTATACCGCAGTTTGCACAGTTGGCTTGTTTCATATTGCCGCAATTTATATACTAAAATAAAAGCACTGATAGAAGAACCAATATAAATCTCCTACTGAAGCTCAAACACCTGCTTTATTGCATACAAGAGATAATGATCAGATGCAATCCCACATATATGAGCAATACAAGTAACTGATGAATTTGTAGGAGCAGTACGTTACATAAATGGAAATCTAACTTAAGAGAATAGGAGATTCCTTAACCTTCATCTTTTCTAGTCAGGCACTCTGTCTAACTAGGCAAAGAGACAATGCCTCATACACTTAGGCCACCAAATCTATAAGAATAATATTGTCTAGTGGGAAAAATTTTGTCCCACTAGATTCTCAGGACTAGGTAACAGCCTAGATCTCCACCAAAGCACTGCAATGTGTACACTGTACACCCCAGACCCACTAACAATATATGCATTATAAATTAAAAAGAAGAGGCATTAGAGATTATACTGCACTGTTCAGATGAACAGTGATAGTCCAGGGTAGGTAAACACTGATACTTCAGGAGAAACAGGCTTCTGGGACCAGGACCCACAGGTTCACTCCCAGCAGGATGGGCTGCTCAGGCAACACCGCAGCAGCCTGGAGAACTGCCAACGGAGCCGCTCGCTGCCCAGCTGCAAGTGCGCTCAGAGCATGGCTGGAAGCATGGCCAAAGCTCCTACGCTGTGTCTTCCCCCGCTCAAAGGGCTGAGCAGCCCCCAGGAGAAATTCAGCTAAGGGCAGGGGGATAATCAGGGGGTGAGCAGCTGAATTAACCAAAGAAGAAAGAAAAAAAAATCCCCCGTAAGGCCCAGAGTTATAGTTAGGAGAAACACTAGACCGATCCCTCCACAAGTCCTAAAAGGACTCAAAACTAAGCAAGGCCAGATGCAGCCAAGCTGACCTGCCAGGATCCAACAGAAATTTTTGTTCGAGCAAGGACTGAAGGATTTGGCCTCACAGTCTAGTTCTGCCTTTACTTGTAAGTATACAACTCCCTTTAACTTCAGTGGGAACAGCAGAAAGGCAGAACCGGACAATAAGCATTTAGAACTCGAGTTAGCTGGTGAAAAAAGGACCCGGTATATTTTGTTCTCGGGTTCTAGGCAGCCAGAAACAGACCTGGAAACGTAGCCATAAAATGTAACTCTAGATAACTGGGAAACAAAGACTGATACTTATGCAACATAAAACGCTAAGCAAGCGCTATGTGTTTGTAGAGTATTTAGAAGCGCTTGCATTTACCATTAGCCCAGCAAATCCTTAACACTTGGAGAGTAGCTCTTTTAAAATGATTAATCTCAAAGTTGTACAGATTGTACAAAGATTAATAAAAATGAAGGTTTTACAGATGAGAATGTGTGATGAAAAACAGAGCAGCTTTAGAGAGTTGTATCAATCTAAGTGGTTATAAAAAACCTCATAAAAGATGACATTCTAATCTGAATATTTTAAAAAATAATCAAGCTGCAATTTCTCTCTCACACCATTTTTACTTTGTTAAACTGAAATCATCTGTCTAATGTATAAAGCAGTTACAACTTAATCTGAAGAGTTAAGCTTTTTATTATTATTTCATAAACCAAAAAAGGGAAGCTTTAGGGCATACTGAGGAGAGTTAGAAAATTTCAGATGAAACGTGAATACACATTGATTCATGAGATTCAGACTTGGAAGAATAAAAAAAGCCAGAAAGCAAGATTACATAAAACAGGCACCACATTAAGCCTCAATTTAATTGTGTTTCAATGCAGGAACAGGAATTTTAGGGTTTAGAAACAGAGCCAAAAATGAGGCAAAGTGAGGGTGTGGGCTAGTCACGTTGATAACAGAACATAAAGGAAGAGAAGTAGAGTTAATTCCCTCTGCTAAAATATTTACCATCCTAGCACCCTGGGAAAAATATGTATGGAGACAGCAAAAAGATTCTGATTAGTTATATAGAAGATCATGTTTCTGCCTGTTTTTTGTCTAATACTATTACAGAGGGTGGAGTATAAAGCTGCATTTTTATCTGCACTTTCCAAGGCAAAGGAATATTAAAAAATGTGATTTCACAGATTACAGCCCTTCTGCCATCTTCAATGAGAAAACCAGCTGGTTGATGAAAGGAAGGCACTGGATTTTCAGGGGACCCCAGTCTCTCTGACTTCAATAGTCTTTGTTTGGTTTGGGTTTTTTTACCATTGACCTGAGTGGAATCAGGATTTCACCCAACACTTCCCTTCAAAATGAGACCCTCAGCTATCAGTGGGAAAGGGGAAATTCAGTATTAGAGACAATAGGTCATTGTCTGTTCCCAACTCATGTTGATTACAGAACTGAACCCAAGAAGGAAGTTTTGCACCTCCAAATTTTACTAATAATACCATCACAGCTAAACAAAAAAAACTTTACAATTCACTCCTAGAGAAAATAAGTTTTCACTGTCTTGTTTTAGATGCAGTTTTAATAGTGTTCTACAGAGATCATACCTAATCTTCCTTCCAGTGAGCCTGAGCAAACAGGAATATATACAAGTGTCCATGGAACATGCTGACTATTTAACACCTAAGCGAAACCAAAAGGGAAAAAAACCCAACCAAACAAACAAATTTCATCTGGTTATATACTGGGTTTCAGATGACTGTTGGAAATACGGATCAAAACTTCTTACTTGAGCTGCTGAAGAGACAACTATGCAATATTTCTGTTAAGTCTTGCTGTTGTGTGTGTGGCTACACTTCTTGTCTACCATGCCGTATCATTTCCTGCTTGGTATAAATAATTTCCATGTCACTTTTATACAGAACTCATCAAAATATCAAGGAGGTTTTTATAGTCATGAGGTCTACCTCTACAACAACACTATGAAGGAAAGCAGTACTTTCCACATTGGACAAATAAGAAAGCAACACAAAAATATTAAGGACAGAAACTGAAGGGAAAGGTGTCCACTAATGTGGGACGTCCATTTTGAGATGCCTGGGACCCGAGTTCTCAGGGTAATAAGCAAAGGACCCACTGACTTTCCTGCAACAGCATAAATCTGATCTCAGCTGCTCCAAACAAAATACCACAAAATGAGGAACAAACCATCAGCGCTCTGAAGAGATAAAATCCAGTCCCACAGTGATGTTCACTGCCTTAACCATGAAGTTTTCCTTTCAGATCCTTGAAGCTGACAGTTTGTGTGACAACTCTCGCAGACAACAAGCCAGCCCTCCCTCTCGTCTACCCAAAGTTCAGAAGGTGACAGAGAAGTCCCTGGACAAACAGGCAACACATAATCAACGCTCACAAGGCACCAAATGTGGACTGTTCTTCCCTCAAATGAGTTATAAGCACAAGTTGAACTCAATCTTTGGCATTCAGAACCTAAGTGAAAATCTACAGATTCAAGTCACTTGGACTATATGGTAGCAGTAGGGGGTTGTCGTCTTCTTCCAGAGACAACTCCATGCAGAAAGCAGCTCGTTTTGGGCCATCAGATCCTCTTCTGGTTTGCCAGTACATAGAAATGTCTAGAAGTCAACTTTTAGGACCTACTCCATGTGCTGGGGTAGTCTGGCTGCAGCCTTTTCTATCTGCTTCCCCATTTACACCTCTCTCCCCTTCCCCTGCCAGTCTATCACGTTGTTGTACTCTGCCAGAAGACAACATCTCTGTTCACCTTATGTGTCTCTCTCCACCACTTAGCAATGGCTGGCCAGGCACTCTATTCCATACCTTTTACTGCCCACCTCTGCTTGACACTCAGGCCGTGCCTTCTGCGGTTCCCTAAGGCTTACACCTACTGAAAGCACTAAAAGCTGAAAGCTAAAACCCACTGAGACAAAGAAACTTCTTGCCCGCAGTTCCAATATCCGACATTAAAATATCCAGGGAAAAAAAAACATTCAGGAAAAAAAAGTCTTCTAAGGCCTTAAAGCCACAGGCTTTGAGCAGATAAAATCATTCGATAGTTTAGATGCCAGGCCCTTGCTTCTGATCACACATGAACAGGACTGTTCGTAAGGGTGCAACTCAACGGGAATGATTTTCACATGACTGAAAACGACGCAGCTTTGGCCGCCTGACAGTATTCCTTGCCAAATTTCAAACTCTTAATCTGAAGTGAGGAGATTCTGGAGCTGATCAGTCAAATATTGGCAAGAATGTAAACAGCTAAAAGCAGAACGCTCTCTGATAAACCACTAGGTAACTTAAGCATAGAAGCTGCTAACTAACTCTACCTGAAATGCACGGCAACAGCTTCATTTCAGTATATTAAACTTATGCTGAACATGAACCAGAAAGCAAGCTACTGAACTGGTCTACTGTCAAGTATAAAGTGTATGACCCATAAGATTTATATAATTGTGGAGTTCTCTAACTGTTTGCAGAACTTATTGGTAATGTTTTCTTCTTTCTTATAACGCGCAGAAGTCTTATCAAAGCCAAGAAGTGGTGGGGAGAACTCAAGGCAAGGAGCTAAACAAGGACTGTCATCGTTGGACAGAATCTAGAAGCTCCGTATTTCAACAGAAAGATTGATTCCAAAATTCTTAAATTACAACTACAAGATTGAGAAAAGCATCTGAAATACTAAACGCCTGGGAATCACTTATGAACAGTTCATATATTTTAAAGATGTAAATCTTGGGAAGAATACCTTATGTTCATGGCAACTGAGATTGGAGGTACTGTGTATTGTAACTCTCAGCCAGAAAAGACAGATAACTATTTTGGCTCATATTACCAGTGATGAGGCTATGTCTAGCACTGATTTTCCACAGATTCTACAATCTTGGCCTATACCAAAACTTTCAGCTTTGTTTTTTTTTTTTTCGCCCCCTTTCATGCATCCTAGGTCACATACTTTACACTGCTAACAGTCTGACTCCTGGACAAGTAAGAAGCCATTTATTTTGTTCAGTACTGCTTTAATATTTCTATTGTGTCCTTTTTTTTTTTTTCCACTGAGTTCCCCAAAGAATAACCTCTTCCTTGCTTTAATAACTTGGACCTCGGTCAAGGTTGATGTGTTTCTCCATTTTGTAGGATATTTTCTTCAGAAGAGACAAAACAGTGTCTAACATTGCAATGACTGATCTTTAAAGGTACAGTTTAAAGAGGAAATCAAAAACACTTATGGAAAATAAAAGTAGGAAATAACCTTTACAAAGAGATGATTGGCAGCGAAGACACAGAACTGTACACAACTGTAGGATCTGGGGATCTTCTCTAACCACAAGAGCTCCTCGACAGATCTCTTCAGGCTCAATTCTCTCGTTCATTCCAACACAGATAGTTTACTATGCTGCTACTATCTTGTCCCTCTAACCTTCAAACACCATTTGTGAATGAGCTAGAAGCAGACCCATAATATTTTTTCCTTTATCACGCTACAGCACTGTACACAAAGTCCATATTGAACAAGGTTTTCACATTTATGGACAGCTACATGAAAGCATAGATCTAGACAGGCTTTTCTAGATGTCTCCTGTTGTTCACTTGAGACTGTTAGCACATGCTTAGACACCGAGAACATCTCAAAGTGAGTTGATGATACCTACCTTCGGTAGGGGAGTTTTCACAGCCAATCATCTACTCAGAGCAGAGCAGGCAATCTTTGGCTTTACCTTGGCTAAGATCAAAAGGCGGCTCTTTTGCTCAGGGTAGCGATTGTAGATGAGACAAGGTGAAGTTACGGTAGTGCACCAACCCAGCGGGTCTCGGTCCTACCTCATGCTCCCCTGGGTGCGTCGGAGGAACCAAGCCAGCGCAGGACTGCTGGAGGCACCGGGCACAGGCTGCCGAGCGGCCCGGCGCCGGCACCGAGAGCTCCGCGCCGCCTTGCTCACTCCTTCTCCCTTTCCTCCCCCAGCATCCCGTCCTCGCACCCAGGGCCGGGCCCGGGAGAGCGGGAGGCCGGGTGCCGGCTGGGGGAGGCCCGGCAGGGGAGATGCCCGCTCGGGCCGGGGCGGGCGG